AAAATTTTGCCTTTCGATCGTAATGTTGTTAGTGCTGTTTATTAACTTTAGTTGTGCTTCTTTAGTTGTGCATGTCTGCACTGCGCTTCTCTTGGGTCACTGAGTTCTCAAAAAGCTTGGAATGGATGGAGACTAAGAGTCTAAGAATGAGTTGTTGAGGTGAGTGGTAATGGAAAAGAGCACTCTCTTGGTTATCCGTTAATTATGTTCGGCACATTTTTTCTTACATGCTACTGGGGAAGACTACTCTGTTGAACCTACTGAAAGCAGAAGGCCTTTCCATGCTCTTCTGGATGTTGGTTTTGTAGGAACAATGGAATCGTGTTATATAGTGCCCCGAAAGGAACATTTTTTCATGAATATCAACCTTTCGGCCAACAATATCACTTAGTCACATCACATGAATCAATCCTGTTAGTGCAAAGTTCACACTCAAAGTTTTTTCATTTTGGTTTAGTATGTTGCGTAAGGAACCCAAAAATTTCACCCATCCTCAAGTTAATAGTAAATTAGGAATGCTTATGTTTAGCCATGTGATTCAATTCTCAATGCTTTTAACGTTGCATTAACTTTACTTCATCTGCTTTCTTTAAAGTGTAAAAACTGTCTGTTGTCTAAGTTTCCTATGAGGCATAATCCTTAACCAAGAAATTGGTGTTGTGCATCATTTTGTCTTCCAGACAAGTTTATGTATTGTGCATCCTTAACCAATATTTAGATGTGTTGGTTATGCCACTAACTCTGTTTTTTTGTTAGATTTTATGTAAGTAGAGTACTTGAGCCTCTGTTGGTTTGACGCTATTATTTAATTGTATCTTCATTGCTATAAGCTAATTTTTTATACTACTTGTGCCAAAACTAGTTTGCTGTTATCAAAACTAATTCACCCTTCTAATTGTTCAACCTGAACTTTGGGCATTGCTATCCAGGGTTTGGTAGAAGGTGAGCATGAGAAGTACCAATCTCATTTTAGCAAGTACGGAGTATATCGGAAAAGGTATTGAGCACAGCAAGATTGAGGATATTTACAAAATGCTGCTATACATCCCCAAAGAAGTTCATGAGGCAGCCTCCTAAATAGTACAAGAGGTTTACTCGATTTTGTTCAGTCCGTACCGCCCTGCCTCAAACTCTAAAATGCTGGCTGATAATAATGAAATATATTGAGGGGGTTATCTTAAAATATCTTATGGACAAAATTACTATAGTTACTATGAGTAAACTCTTATAATTAGTGCAATGTAAAATTAAACATAAACATGTTTGCTGGGGTTACTTCTTACTACTATGGTTATTGTTATGGTCATTGTTTATTAAATTATATATTTGTCCACCATTTTTAGTTCAGTCATATGTTTGTCACATATTATTTCTACTATATATTCACCATTGGAGTAACACATTATCCTCCTGGGAGTAACATATTATCCTCCTGGCCCTAAACTATTCATATTTTTCTTCGGTTCATCCCAAAATTACATTCCATTTCTTTTAGAGAGAAGAGTATGTATTTCATGTTATTTCACTATCCTTTTGATCAATTTAACCTCATACTTTTTTTTTCTTAATCTTCATGACGGGTCTTTGTAGGTTAAACACGGAAATGCGGCTAACTTGAGAGGATGGCTAAGCTCATAACGAAACTGAATGCCCTAAATGAAGCCGTGGGAGGAAATGATGATGATGATGAGTGAGTGATCAACTCACTAACATATTCGGGATCTCAACACCACCAGCCTAATCCCGATATGTTGTAACTTTTTATGTCAAAGCAATGTTTCAAAATCTTCGAGAAAAGGGTCAAATAAGCCCTTCTACTATTATGAAATAGTCACATAAGGCCATGTACTCAATAAAGTGTCATATAAGTACCTCTACTTGTAAAAAACAATCAAATGAGTCATAACGATCTATTTACAACCTCCTAATCCCGGTTTTAGCTTACATGTCGAATTTTTTGACTTGTATTTCAACCAATCTTAGTTAAATATTCGACGTATGCCGTATATTCTATTCGAAAATGATAGTCAGAAGTACGCTAAAACCAGGATTAAGAGGTGTTAAATAGGTCATTAGGACCCATTTGATTGCTTTTTACAAGTAGAGGTACCTATATGACACTTTATTGAGTATATGACCTTATGTGACTATTTCATAATAGTAGAAGGCCTTATTTGACCCTTTTCTCCAAAATCTTCTTATGGCTATTTTCCCTTAATCTTTGGTTTGAATTTCTTTGAACTGAATTAAAAACCCTTATGGTTATCACAAAAGACTGCATTGACGGTCTAGTTATTGGGATATAGAAGTACATATATTAGAAGGTTACTGTGAGCTCGGGGGCTCCCTCTTTGGTTCAAAATTCCTTGTGAAACAGAATATAATTACGTCAATGGATAAATGAATCATAAATTCATAATCATTAGACCACTTCAAATTGAGAGGGAGAGCTAGTCTATCTTCGTAAAACTTTAAGATCCAATCGCAGAACTTGATAATTAATATAATGAGTAAATGAATTGTGTAGATTGATCTGATCATGTTATTTTGAGATGTGCTGATTTAATTTATACTTTCTTGAATCTTTTATTACGCCTTAGGATCATACGGGAAATAAAATTTAAGTTTCATGCGAAGAGGACAGGTAGTTATTCACTTATTTGAATTACATTGTACGGTACTTTGTAGGCCAAAATGCTGTTGAGACTTGAGAGCATCTATTCTGATTTTGAGGGCACGACTAAAATGTGGAATAAATCATTTTGGCCAAATTATACCTGTTTTCTTTCCATTGGAAATGTATTATTTTGAGGTTAAATGAAAACTTTTTTTCTTCTTTCTCTAATTCCAGTTCCAACTTTTAATCGGTGCACACTCGAGCCCTTCAAATCCGACATTCACTATCCTATCACCATCACCGTAAAGAGCAGGCTTCCTCTATGATGCAGTTAGACAAAGAGCAGAATTTCTCGTGTAGTCTACTTATTTCTTCTCGGCGTCATCATATGTGACGCCTGATTTGCTAGAGTTGATGAAATCTCTGGACCATAGGAATGTAAGAATGTTTCAAACATGTTATGTAGGCTATTGATGTTGTATCTGATTCTCTAAATATAAAGATGCATTGTAATTAAACGAATCATATATTCGTTGGGATATTTCTATTATTCGAAAATGAGTATTATGTTATACTCAGACGAGTATATATGTTTAAAATAAATGAGCATGTGTATGACTTAAAAAATGAGCATACTAGATATTTCAATAGTAGAGTCACAATGATCAAAGGCATAGAATAAATGCTTAATGAAAATGTTTTGATATTTTGACGCTCAAAGTTTTAAACTTTTCAAATACTCATTTCATAAATCATATTGGAGCTCCTAAAAGTATGTTACAACTAAAAGTATTACAAGTTACACACATAGCCTACTAATATAAAAGAAATTGTTTTAGATAAGAGTAAAAGCAATGTAAAAATTTAAAGTAAGAGTATTACATTTTCCCCTAAATTCAAGTAATTATTTTCATTTTCGGAAAATACCATTTATTGTTTATATAATACTATCATACTAATATCTCATAATGTCAAAATATGAGAGTATGATCTAACAGTCAGTCATGTTTCAAAAAACGACGTCTTATAGATGCTTAGGTAGTGACTATATTAATAACTTTGGCTACAATTTCATCCATAAGTTTAATTTCAATATATTTTTGGAAAACGTCTTATAAAATACTAAAAGGTAAATTGTAATAGAGTTATGTATTTGATGAACAAGTTTGCCGCAATTATTAAAGGCTCTTAAATTAATTGTCGTCAAGTCTTTTGTGCGCTCCCCTACTTCACTCTAGGCATGGATCGGTTCCGATTTTGGGCCGAGTTTGAAAGTCGGCTACCCTAGAACCGAGACCGGCACCTGATATACCGGTTCCAGGCCGGTGCGGGTCGTGTTTTAATCCCCTTTTAATTTGTTTTATATATTTTAAAACCCTCATGAAACTCCTTACCTCTTTTAGATTTTAAATGAATTTATACCTCTTAAAATTCTTAGAGCATCTCCTAAAGTTGATTTGAATTACTTGTTTGCAAATTTAAACAAATATCTTATTATTGGAGATTGCTTTTCTTTTTACTTGAGAAAGCTAATTATCCAAAAGGACATACTAGCTTAATGGAAGAAATTATTAAATATAATATTATACTCGGTATTATTTATGATAAATGAAGAGAAAGAATTTGTTAATAACCATTGAAGTAAATTTTACTAATCCCTAAGAGCATAAGAGCAATTGACTAATCCCTAAAGGTGCTGTTATAAGCCTTTCCAATGCAAAGGAAATAAAACTAGAGAAACTTTCCGAAGTAGGAGTAAGCAAGTTTTAAATTTCAAAATACAAATGTAATTTTTTCCCCCGAAATATGAGTAACATTGTAGTATTTAATTTACTTTAGTATTATTAATGACAATGTTTTTCAATAATAGCCAAAAAGACTGTTATTTCAAGAAAAATATATAACAATTTTATTTAGGGTAAAATTTTGTCGGGTTTTTTACATAAATATTACAAAAATAAAACTCATCATTTACATAAACATGACTATTCATTGCTATAATGTGGTCTCATAGTAACTTAAGCTATTATGATTTCATTACTACTCTAGTCACTAATCACATTTTTGTAAACAATCTTAATTTTATAGTCATATATATGTAATTATTTCTTTCAAAAAACTAAGAAGATGTACCAAGACCGAATCAGGCAGTTTTTATCCCCAAAATCACTATCCAAGGCCAGCACCAAACTTTAACCCGAATCAGAAAAAACGGTCCGCTCTGGCCTCGAGATTGGCTGATTCCGGCCCGACATATCCGGGGCCGTGGACTAGGTCCAAGCAGGGGTGGAGACAAATTTTCAAGGACCGACCCTTTAACCCTAGATGTCTGGCTCCCCGGTGGGTCCAAGCCTGCTTCACTTACTTCACTATGAGGAATTATGAAAATTTATTTATTAATTCAAGCATTCAGACTTGAACGGTCAACAGACTATTGCTGAGCTAGAAAAAGAACACGAACAGGGAAACAGGGGATCTCTCTGCGGAAGCTCCCACCCACTTCGTCCATGGCTTCCTATGCTGCGCTCCACCTACCATCTTCGTCATCTCACCTCACTACAGCCTTTAAAACCCGTCCATCTTTCGGGGCTCACAACGTCCAAGTCTGGAAGCCCCTTGGGATCAAGGCTTCAACTTCTCTGGGCTACTCAACGACCTCTCACCCCAACACACCACCAACATATCCTAAGGTCTTAAACTAAAAACAGAATAAAAATCAAATTGATGTCCTTGATCATTAAATAACATCATGCATTTTATCCCCCTTGTGCAGAATAATATTTGGCAATGGAAATATAAGGAGAATTCCGTGAATATCTACTATGAAGCTTACGAGAAGGAGAAAGATGGGTATTCCTTGAATATCCTGATGATGCCGACTATATCTGATGTTAGCACTGTGGAGGAATGGAGATCAGTGGCTGAAGACATTGTGGGTCGAGATGGGGCCAGCAGTTACAGGGCCACCATTGTGGACTGGCCTGGTTTGGGATACTCTGATAGACCTAAGCTGGATTACACTGCCGATCTTATGGAGAAATTCTTGGTTGACTTCATCAATGCGCCTGGTGGTCCTTTAAGCAGCTCAAGTGAGTAAGAAACTGTTTTTATGTGTGTTCTAGAATGCTTGAATTCATACTTAAGGTAAATTTGATCAGAAATCAATGAACTTGGAGTACTCAGTTAATGGTTGGGGTGGTTTATAATCCCTTAGTCTCAATGTATTGATTTTGTGATCTTTTAAATTTATTTCGGTATTGGATGATGTTCATAACTCCGCCTTGAGATCATTTTTTTGGTATCATGCCTGTCCCAAGCCAGGAAAAAGGAAGAGGGTGTTGTGGTAGACGCGTGACAGCCAACAGTATTACTTGGTCACATCACATGACATGAATCGAAATATTGGATGATGTTGTTGGACTAAGGCTTGGATGTTGTTGTTGTATTGGATGATGTTCATGCTCCACACTTTCACTTGTTACTTAGCAGTGATTCTAGTTTTATGTGGAGTATAAATGTATTGAATTGGAAAACTTAATTAATTTTGATGTTGCCTGGATGTCCACTTTCTTGTTTCAACATTGGGAGTCATGCTTCCTATATTAAATTTGGGAGATTTGTTGAGGTCTGTATATTACTCCGTATTAGTTTGTCCTATGTATTGTTTGGAATTGTAGAGAATGAGCAGAAAGAAATGGCCAGGAAGGAAACAAGAGATAAAATCATAAAATTTGTGTTTGGTTGAGGAAAATAATGTATAGAAAGGGTCATAAATCAGGTTTATTGGGAGGAAAGATTCTCCTTGTGGAGGGTTTTGAGAAAGGGAGGAATATTTGACATGACATGGAATCATTTTTCTCCCTCATTTTATCCTTGGTATGTTTTCCTTAATATTCCATATCATGTTAATTTCTTATCCAGACGTCTGACTGCACATAGCATAATTGTGCAGAGTATCTACTACTCATGTATAGCTATTTTATGGCAAGTACAATCTTTTATGCTTCTGGTTTTACTTGCATTGAGTATTCACTTTCTTCACCGTCCACAAATTGGATAATCGCTTAGTCATTTAGGCCTCTACACCATTCCACTTGTGCTTCAATACTTACGTACAGACTTTTTGTTCTCATCAACGTAGCTATCTATAATACACATGATGGTTGTTCATTTCTCTGAACATGATTGCATTTTCAGATTAGCAGCATCTTCAATAATACTTCTAAACTAATTTATCAGGTAATGACTTGGTGGTAGTCGGGGGAGGGCATGCTGCTACTATAGCTGTCCGTGCTGCCAATAAAGGTTTGTTGAAGCCAATTGCTATTGCTGCTATTGCGCCCACTTGGGCTGGTCCACTTCCTATTGTTTTTGGTAAAGATTCTAATATGGAGACAAGGTAGACTTTATTCCTTCCATATTCTCTCTTTAACTACCTCTCTACATATCTTTGGAAGGGACCAGACTACCAGAGGCTCTGGACGGGTAGCTCAACTGGTTCGGTCCCAGTACTAAAAAATATCTGAGATCGCTAGTTCGACACTTCGACCCCACAAAGGACCATTAAAGGTTTACCCAGTTGCTAATTTTAGGGTCTGTGGATTAGTAGGTCAAAATGGTCGTGATACCCATTACCCACTATAATAAACACATAATTGAAAGGGACCTTAGCAAGATAAGCTCACTGATATTAATCAACATTGTAGGATTTTACTATAGTTGATTTTCTAGTTACATAATGGGAATCTTGAACCCAGATTAATGTGAGGATTGGTAACTAAAGCTGCAATATAGAAAACAGTTAATTATTGCAGCTATGGTGCTCATGGAAACTTCTATGAGAAGTGTATCTCGTTATTTGAAATTGAAACTCCCTGAAATGGTTCCAAGTTTTTTATAGTTCTCAAAAGCTTGTAAACAAGTTTCAGGACAAAAAGAACACGTACTCTTTGTTCTAAAAGGCTCCCTTGGTTACAGGTTGGCTCAGGTCACCCAGATCCTCTTATTTATCGTGGCGCTGACTAATTTTTTTGTTTTATACGTAGTATTCTTTTTGGTTTCCCTGAACTCTTTAGGGATTAAGGCTTAGATGTTGTTGTTGTTGTATTCTTTTTGGTTTGTGAAGGATCATCATTCATCAAGACTGGCATATCATATTATCATCTGCCCATGTCTTGAACCCATATCATCACATGTGTAGAGTCTTAACTTTTTTAAGATTGATCGGTACATTTGAAAAGGACAGACTTGAGATTCTCTTATTCATGCTTTGAGTAACCCATTTTAAAGGGAATATAAAATAATGTTTGATTTTTCTCTTGTGTATAGCTTGATATTTGTCCAACACTGGACACTCTAGAAATCTGACTGTATGGCAAATGTATTATATACTTGCCTTTTGTTAATAGGTTTTCTTATGCGTGCCTCTGGGCATATTTTTATTGATACACTTACCTTTTATTAATAGACTTTTTATTATTATCAAAAATAATTTTGAGAACTTTAAGCATAATATGCTCACTAATTGCTTCTTATCTTGTGCTCATGGGGCACACTTTAAATAAACCCTATATTTAGTTGGTTTGATTAATCATCACACAGAAATGTTTTCCTACAATGTTGATTTCAAAGGGTACATTATTGTATTAGTTCCAAATTAGTCCCTCAATTACCACTTCCATTTTCCCTTTGAATTTTTAAATAGGCATCACTAGTCCCCATTAAACTCATTGTGTAGTTGTAACGCCTAGCTGGGCCTTTTCTTGTTAAATTTTAGGACAAATAATTCAATGGGCAAAAATATCCGTGCAATCCCCACAAAGGCCCCTTTCAAGACTGCGTTTAAAATTACAAAAACCTCTAAGGAAGAGACCAGTGTTGCCCATTTTCTGATAACTGACAGATTAACACTGTCCATATACTCCTATATTCTATAGAAGTGAAGGATAGATAATGGTAGCGTTACTCGAGTCTAAAAAAACTGTTAAAGTTACTCTATTACTTGGCTAAGCTGATGCTAGTATGTTTTCTGTTTGTGTTTATTATTTGTTTTTTCATGAACCTGTAGGTATGGTCTTCTTAGAGGGACTTTACGGGCTCCTGCCGTTGGCTGGATGATGTACAATGTACTTGTTAGCAACAAGAAATCAATCGAGTCACAGTACAAATCACATGTTTATGCTGATCCAGAGAATGTCACTGCAAGTTTTATCGAGAGCCGATATGCACTTACAAAGCAGAGAGGTGCTCGCTACGTGCCGGCAGCTTTTTTGACTGGTTTACTCGACCCTGTAAAATCCAGGGAGGAATTTGTTCACCTTTTTGCAGGGTTACAGGGAAGCATACCTATTCTTGTTATTTCAACCCCTGGCTCTCCAAAGAGATCAAAAGCAGAGATGGAAGTTCTTAGGGAAGCTGAAGGAGTGAGCAAATATGTTACAGTACCAGGGGCTCTTCTCCCCCAAGAGGAGTATCCTGAGAAAGTTGCTGAAGAGCTTTATAGGTTTTTACAGGAGTATTTGAGCTAAAGACCAGTTTATATGACGGTTAATGGTTTAACCCCTGTATGAGTTTCACCTGGTATACAAGAACTTTGTGTTTATATGAAAAAGAGAAACAATACATCTATTTAGTGAGCCATTGTTACTTTCATTAGGACTTGAACTGTCTTGTAATGAATCATTTTTTAAGTTCCATATAAATACGAGATATGTACTAATAATATTAGTCATTAGTAAAACATCTTAGCGAGATAGCGAGATGTGTTTTGTTGTGCACCATTTCAATTAAGTAACAGGCCATAATCAGTGGGTAAATGTACAACTGTTCTATGTGCCGCAGTGTTGGAAATTGGAATGCAAGTATGTCTCGTTGTTTCTCTATGACTGTTAATCGTATTTGTTGAATTGCTATGCTATGGAGTTGTTGGGGGGACATGGTTTGTCAGGTTCGTCTTAATATAGCATCTGAGGTGATGGTATCTTACTATTGACCCCAACAGGGTGAAGCATGTGTTATGTTGATATAACGTTGATGTCTTTTGCAAAATGAGTTTGACACAAGGACAAAGTTTGTATACAGATCAAAGCCCCCACATGTGTATTGTGAAAGTAGGCTGTTCTTCCAAATGGATTGTCAATTCTTTCTCTTGGTGTGCTATTGATAAAGTATCCTCGCTGTGAAAGGCAAAACAGGCCTCAAAAAATATATGCTAACACCGGACAGATCTCCAAGTGTTGTTACTTGTTACTATGTTGGAATCAACAAAACAAGACATGCTCCGGCCACATTGTAAGGGGAAGGTTAGCTAATCTATTGAGCTCTCCATACTGTGTACTTAAAAAGCTGTATTAGTCTTCACCTAATGGGAAGCACACATGAGTTATTATGTTCTGTTGTTCCCTGACGAGTTGTAGCAAACTAATTGGATCTGTATGTTCATGCGCAGTGAGAAGTGTGCATCTGAATATGTTTCTGCACGACTTAATGAGGATTCAACTATGTCTCTGAGCATATCTATTACTTTATTGCTTATGTATAGCTATGTGAATGTCTAGACTCTAGACTAGTAGAGTTTATGCAGTGTTGATAACTTGAGGTCGAAAACTATACGTAGTATTAAACATGTTTTTCCGACCTCCAGTGAAGTAAAACGAGTTTGCAAGCTGTGTTTTTTGCGCAAACTATTTTTCTCCGAGTGAATAGCTATATCATTTCACCCAATCGTCGAGGGTCTTGATTATTATGTATTGTTGAGTCCTTTTCTCACTACAAGCCTACAATTAACATGTTGATCCTACTTCTAGCATTTGATTTTGCAGTTTAACCATGATGGCTGAAGATCTATTGATCTACCTAGGGGTGTTTGGAACTGATTCTGCTTCTGCTTCTTTTTTAAAGCAGAAGCAGAATCAGAATAAGTTTTCAGAAGCTGGTACCCCCCAAATTCTAAAAAAATTGATTCTTGGAGTAAATTAGAGCACCAGAAGTGCTTCTGGAATTTTACCCAAACACTCCAGCTTCTGCTTCTGCTCCTTGAAGGAGCAGAATCAATTTTGAGTATCAGATCCAAACACCCCCCTATTGATCTATTGGAGGTTTGTGAAGCTATTCTGAGTCTTGAGATTGTTGACATAGATGTTGTTGGTTGGTCTGATCTGGTTTAGTCTGGATTGGTTGATAGATGTATGATCTCTATGTATTTTTCTCAGCCTTGCACGAATAGTTTGAGGATACTCCTCACTAGTTATGCGGCATGCCGGGAATCCAACAATTACCATTCCACCTGATCAGTCAGGAGCGTGACTGCGTGAGATGTTTATTAGTTTATTTGTGTATAGTTCATGTATCATATGTCATATTTTTTTAAATTATGGGACATTTAAAACATGTAGAAGCATATGTTCATGTTGTGACCGTACAAATAATATATTAGCGTGTATTTCTGAAACCGTTGCATACTATATACGAACATACACAGGGACAGATCCATAATTTCGAATCAAGGGGGCAAATTTTTTCGTTTTTGTTGGGGAGAAATTTATTTCGCTATTGTGGAGGGGTCGGGGGCAACCCCCCACTAGTGTATGGCTCTGATCTACTTTTTTTAAAAAAAAAAAATCATTAATACATACATGACGACATTCAAATCTATTACATTCTAAGTTTAGACAATGGAAAATAATTTTGATTTTATAATTGAAGTGCTCTAGAAAAAAAGTATTAATGCATTAAAGCGTAAGAAATGGAAAATCAAAGGGAAATTATTTGAAAATAAAAATATATATATAATATTTTATCAAATTATTTGAATATCAAAAGGTTTAAAAGGTATACATCCACCAATACTTTAAATTTCAAATAACTTGTGCTTTGTTTAATCACATGTATTATCTTATCGGAATATATGATTAGTTTTTGATTTGCAATTTTTGTCTACCAAGGAGGGTGTTTGTGAGTCACGAGAAGTTTTCTTAATATTACAATAGCATGTATGAGATTATTATTTTTAAAATCATATTAAATTGCAGATTCATATATATGGTGCATTTATATTTGTATTATTGCTAAAATAAGTTAAAGTTTATTATCTATGCAATAAACTGTTTTTAGAAAGTAAGAAGTAAATCGATTGTGTATTTTAATGTTAAGTGTCATCAACAAACATTTATATTTTGGATTCGATTCACATGATTTAAAAACAGTTTAACTAGTGTGTCTGATAATTAAACATTACTTCCAAAAAAAAGATAATTAAACATTACAAAACTAGACATTTTTATATAATAGGTATCCTAAGTCTTGAACAATGAGTTACTCTATTGTTTATTTGTTTAAGTTATGTAAATTATTTTAGATGCCATATAAAATTTTGAAAATTAAAAGTTAAGGGGGGCGAACACATATATATCTAATTAAAGTATAAAAAATTTATGAAAATTTTACATATATAATAGAAAGTTTTGAAAGTCCAAGGGGGGCTGTCGCCCCCCCCCCCCCCCCCCTAAATCAATCCCTGAACATACATATTATTCTGATTCTAATGTTCACAGACTATATTATTCTAACAAAGCGTGAGACACAAATTGGAGCTAGAAACACTTGACTTGTTAGGGATGGATGAAAGAAAATTAAAAAGACATTAAACAAAATGAAGTGAGAATGTTCTATTATTTACAAGTGGGATTACATACTGTGTTCGACCCTTTGACAATAGTGTTGCATGTTCGATCATTTATTTTTACACAGTTTATTGTTGGACCCAGACAAGTTTGGTCTAGTCTCATGTAAGGATAAGGCTCGACGGACATTGGCGACCTCTTTGGTCGAGTGGGACCCAATTCAACAATTCCACACACCAGGTGGAAGGGGATCTTGTGCTCACCGTCAGCACCAAAATCACAAATTTCATTGAAGTGCCTATGTTACATCTTATTGAAAGGCTAAAAAAGCTTGGGTAGATGAGTTTGAAATATACATTGAAAGCAAATCATTTTGTTTTCATTTTTTTATTGCAACTCTATTCGTATAGCTGAAACGAAAAATAACATCACATCTACCTTGAACTCTATTCCTAAGTTTTTATCTCATAGTTGGTCTTGCACTAAGTTAGACTTTAAGAATTCTATTTTCATTTTTCAAGATGCCAATTTCTTTGGAGGATTCTTCCGCATTATCAAGAAAGACGATGATTCTTTATTTATACCAGAAGGACAAATAAACAGACTAAAGATTAAGCACTGACAGGGATCACAAGAGCACATTATATGATGAAGAAAGATTTAGCCAAACAACAACCTTGAGAGATTCAACACACTGCTATTATGATTCATTGAGAATGACTTTTCTATTCGAGAGGGATCTTCTCATTCCTAGGCTGGATGAAGACCCCTCCGATCAAAGTGATTTTCTATTTCGAGAGAATTGTTTCAGGTTGATATTGAGCGTTTTAGCTCTTTTGGAAAATCTCTTGCGGTGCACTCTATTGAGGACCTCTGTTGTTCTTTGCATACGCCGCAACCTAACCCTCCCCTGGAAGCAGTTAAGTATTTCTTTCAGACATCTATGATTAATGGGGTGAAATCGTTGTCTCAATTTTTAGTTAAAGAATTTGAAAGAATCCTTATATCTTTCTTAGGTAAGCGGGACTTTTTGGATGAGTGATGTTTTTATACATAACCATTACAGTGATGGTGTTTATTCTGAGTAGTTACTTTCTTACTCGGGGAATGAGTTTCTTGGTCATGCTTCATATAGTTAATAGAGGGCTCTTATTACATCTATGGATGATCTATGTGTCTCAGATACAAATCTAGACATCTATGACAAAGCATACTAGTCACGAAAAACAACTGCTTGCCTACACATAATTTGAATGCTCAAATAAAAACATATAGGAAAAAACATCAGCAGTCACATATCATTTAAGGAGGGTTATTCTGATGCATCAGGATTGGGGTTTTCCTTCTTTCCTTTGTTTTTCTCTTTTATCTTTGTTTCTTGTACTTCTCGAATGTTCTTTAATAAAATTTCCTTGGTTGAATACAAAACCTTTATCAAATAAATTAGTTTTGATTTTGATTAAATTTTAATATGATTCACATCCCTTTTTAGAGGAACTCATATACTAAAGTTTATGTATTAGTGAGTCATTAATATGTTTACTTTATGGTTAATATTTACAACCCACAAGTAATTACTCTACTTTTAAAAACTATATCTACTCCTTTAAATAAAAATCAAAATAGATTTTTTTTTGAATTTTGGCTAAATTTTCATAATAACTACAAAATTCTCATTGGAATAAGATACGATAGTATTAGACACTATAGGAGAACTTCTCATAAACTAGTTTTACTTCTTGAATGTTCATTTTCAGAATAATCTTCACTAAATATAATGGTAACTAATACCCCCGTCCCAAAATGAAGTTTCTAGTCACTATTCAGTATTCACATGGTCAACTTAAATCATTTTTAATCGTTTGCTTTATATATCAAATTTTTATCAAATTTAATTTTTCTTGATCAGGCATTGTAAAAATTTTAATATAGTTTTTGAATATGTAAATTTTATTTACTAATGAGTGTGAACATGGATCAAATTGCTTTATCGTCATTCAAATATCATAAACCGAAACGGGAACTTCTTTATGAGATGGAGGAGTATAAAATAATAAGAGTACACTATGAAATGATGGTAACTGTTGGTCCATAATAGTAAAATTGTGAGCCTTTTGGGAGGTTATGACATAATATCAGAGTCAAGTCAATGTTGT